GTGGTGGCTCACGCCTATAATCCCAGCACTTCGGGAGGCCAAGGTGGGCAGATCACTTGAGGTCAGGAGTTCCAGGCCAGCCTGGCCAACATGGAGAAGCTGCATCTCTACTAAAAATACAAAAATTAACCGGACATGGTGACGCACACCTGTAATGCCAGCATTTTGAGAGGCTGAGGCAGGCGGATCACTTGAGGTCAGGAGTTCCAGACCAGCTTGGCCAACATGGGGAAACCGTGTCTCTACTAAAAATACAAAAACCCATCTTGCTGGGTGTGGTGGTACATGCCTATAGTCCCAGATACTAGGGAGGTTGAGGCAAGAAAATCACTTGAACCTTGGAGGTGAGGTTGCAGTGAGCTGAGATGGTGCCACTGCACTCCAGCCTGGGCGACAGAGCGAGACTCTGTCTCAAAAAATAAAAATACATTGGTGTAGTGGATGCCATTGGTTCTTCAGCCCAGGATTGACCTTCACACACCTCATGTTCTGTCCTCCTCCTCCTCTCTTCCTCTTGTGTCTTGCCAGCCTCTGCTGCCTCCCCACACGACAAGAGCTTGTTGCTGAATTTGTTTTTGGTTTTGAGACAGTTTCTCTCTGTCACCCAGGCTAAAGTGCAGTGGCAAGATCTTGGCTCACTGCAGCCTCAAACTCCTGGGCTCAAGAGATCCTCCAGCCTCAGCCTGTCCAATAGCTGGAACTACAGGTGTGCGCCCCCATACCCAGCTCATTTTAAATTTTTTGCAGAGATGTGGGGTCTTGCTATGTTGCCCAGGCTGGTCTTGAACTCCTGGGCTCAAGTGATCCTCCTGTCTTAGCCTCCTGAGTAGCCGAGATTACAGGTGTGAACTACTGCATCCTGCTGACCCTGATTTTACAACCAGCCCAACCGTCACAAACGTCCCAGGGAACAGGGATCTCTGACTTTTCTACTCCAGGTGGCTTACCTGGTCCACCTGCCTCCCCACACCCACCAGGCCCTGGCCCAGCTCTTACCACAAGCTCCAGACCAGCTTGGAGCTGCACTTTATAGCCATAGACAGTGGTAATCACTTCTTGCAAGAAGGTGGAGCTCCTGGGCGGATCCATCTTGTTGCGTCCCTCCACAAGGAGGGGCTCCACCCCCTCAGGCAGTACATCCACAGTCTTGATCAGAACGTAGGTCATGCGGCCCCGGAAGCGGTAGCTGAAGCCGTCAAATGTGAGGTAATGGGGGTCCCCGTAGACTGAGCATTGTTCAGACTCTGCGAAGAAGTCAAACAGTGAGAAGGGGCCGGGCGCAGTGACTCATGCCTGTAATCCCAGAACTTTGGGAGGCCAAGGCGGGTGCATGACCTGAGGTCAGGAGTTTGAGACCCGCCTGGCCAACATGGCAAAACCCTGTCTCTACTGAAAATACGAAAATTAGCCGGGTATGGTGGGTGCGTGCCTGTAATCCCAGCTACTTGGTAGTTCTCTACTGGGCAAGAGAATTGCTTGAACCTGGGAGGCGGAGGTTGCAGTGAGCGCCGAGATCACGCTACTGCACTCCAGTCTGGGTGACAGAGTGAGACACCATCTCAAAAAAAGAACAAAAAACAAAACAAAAGACTGAGAAGGGACCCTGCCCAGGTGTAACGGTCCCCAGAGTCCCTCCCCTACGGTGACATCCCCTGTGGCCACCCTCTTAGGCTCAGGCTCCCTGGATCCTTTCTTTTCTCTTTTTTTCTTCTTTTTCTTTTTTTTCCAGACAGGATCTTATTCTGTCACCCAGACTGGAGTGCAAGTGGTAGAATCATAGCTCACTGCA